AAATCTTTATCAAATCTCTTCAAAATTAAAAACGTTGAGTTGTTTTATTTGTTGAAATATTATTTTAGTATTATTTATAAGCTTTAAGGTGTTTATCAATGTTTTAATTGGCCTTTTATTTATATATTCTGTTTTAATTTTAGTTTGTAAGTTTTAATAATTTCTATACTTTTAAAAAACATTTCTATTTAGCTTTATTTCTATTTCTATTCTATTCTATTATTTCAACTTTTTCAATTTTCATTCAGGTGTTTGAGTTTAAGTTTTCCATCTAATATTCATATTTTATTTTATATCAGTTTTATTTCAACCAGGGTTATTATAGTTAACTAAAACCCAAACTTTATTAAAATTATTTAATAAATAATTTGTTATTTAATTATTCATTTAAATAAAAACATTCTAATAACTGTAATAAAAAATATATAAAATAATTTCAGCTAGTTGCAAAGCAAACATTTCTCATTTTAATTTAGTTTTATAAAAAATTGTAGAACTAAAAAAATTATAAAAATGTATAGATGTATATTTAAAAAAAACAACAACAAAAAAAAATCAACAAAATTGCTAAAACTTTAACTATATAACTTGTTATAGCACTTGCATATCATTGCTCTCTTGTTGATTTTGATTGCTTCCATTGTCCTCATCAGGATAAAAGCGTCTGCTAAATGACTAAATGTAAATGTAACTACATGTAATAGTTTTTGCTTTAGTTAACAAAAACAACACTATTTATCTTTTAAAACATAGTTTTAAACACAAATCCCAATGAAAGCCAAAACCCAGAAAGCTTGGGATGTTCATACTCCATTACCGTAATTATTCTGAAATACGAAAAGCAATTTGTGAGCAAAAAATCTTCCTCTAGGATGGAAATCCCATATGTTTTTAGACATAACCCACGGCATTTATTGACATACCTTGAAATATCATGTATAAACCACATAAATGATTACGGTAATAATTCAGCTCCTTGCAATACCATGCTATTCCCATCCAATACCATCACGATGCCATGGCACCACCGCAGTACTTTTCTGTGGGAACTTACCACATCAACCTCATCGTGAATAAAGTTTCATTTCCTTTCAAACACAAAGCTGAATCACTGATAATGACCAACACCAGGATGACACGCAGAGACGTATCATTAGAAAGGTGAAAGCCTTGGGGCTATGACATCAGATGAAGTCATGGAGCGGACCCGATTGAAGCCATGATTAAGGTTCTGTGGCCTAAACCTACAATATGTGAGTCATCGCTGATGAAGACGAGGGCAAGCAGCCATCTGCATTGAATTAGAGACACTTCAAAGATAAAGAGCGTCTCGGCCTACATCTAAACACCAGCACGCGTGACTTAAGCATACTACAATCCAAAATAGCAAGCAAGAATATGTGAACTAACGAGGTTCAATGACGTTTGGAGGACTAATTACTAATAGATGAGTTTCTATGATGCTTTAATCACTGAACGAACACTAATGACAGAAGCTCTCAAAGTGCCTACAGATAAACTATCCTCAAGCGGAGAGCATTATCTGAGCGTGGCATGCTGGGAAATGCCTGAAAACATGCCTGCTTATTGTCTATGATTTATTTTTGGATACAATTTCAATTTTTCCACTTTCACATTCTGCGATAGCTCAAGCACACTTTTCATGTAAAATAGTTTTAAAAACACATTTGTTAGTTTTGGAATGATAAAGCAGCTGATATAGTGTTTAAAATGAAAACTTTATGCTTGCCAGATTTTAGTTGAGTAGCTACATACTACTACATAGTGCATAGTACATACTTACTCTTATGATTTCTGCAGTATATAGTATGTATAGTGTGCTCAGTACGCTTTTTTTTTTTTACATACATAATACGGTTTTGTTCTTACTGAAGTCTCGTAGGCTCACCAAGGCTGCATTTATTTGATTCTTAAATGTAATTTATTCCTGTGATGTAAAGCTGCATTTTCAGCATCATTCCTCCAGTCTTCAGTGTCACATGATCCTTCAGAAATCATTCTAATATGCTGATTTGTTGCTCAAGAAACATTTCTGATTATTATCAATGCTGAAAACAGTTGTGCTGCTTCATATTTTTGTGGAAACTGTGATACATTTTATTTTTCAGGATTCTTTGATGAATAGAAGGTTCAAAAGAACAGAATTAATTTGAAAAAGCAATAGAATCTTTTGTAACATTAATAAATAAATGCCTTTAGTGTCACTTTTGATCAATTTAATGCGTCCTTGCTGACTGAAAGTATTCATTTCTTTATATAGAGAGTGTAATTTTACTTCAAAGTGACCACACAACCCAAAAACAGTAGAAACCAACTGTTTTATTCAGTGCTATGACCACTATGTTTTTTATTCCTTAAACTGATGATTATGTTTTTGCCATTTGTGAGGGTACTTTTATAACAGGATGGCAGTATGACAAAGTAAAATGCCATATGGTGCCATACAGCTGCTGGTTTTCTTCTAAGTACAATGGACCCCTGACATTTAAATGTCATTGTAAACTATGGATCCAGCATAGAAAGGTAAGGCTGCCTACTGGTGCATCTGCAGCAAGATGGTGAAAAGATAAACCTGACAGGCTTCTCTCTCAAGAAATGTGCTCAGGCATTTGAGGAAAGTCAAAAACATAGTGAAGAAGAGTTAATGGAATAATTCACCATGATTTATGCATCCTCATGTAATACCAAAGCAGCATGACTTAATGAGGTTTGAGAGATACAGCAGAAAGGAGGATTTTTTTTAGTGGATAATGACTTAAATCTCACAGAAATCTATCATATGACTTCAGATGACTCTGAATATAGGGCTCGAGTCATATGGACTTCTTTTATGGTCCGTTTATGGTTCGTTACTGTTTATTTTTGAGGCCCTGGTCACTGTATAGAAAAGCTTAATGTGGATTGATATGAGGGTGAGCCAATGAGGACAGAACTTTAAACTACTGAAGTTAAGACTCATGTGGTTCTTTTACAGTTTCCACACGAGTCATCGGTTTGATATTTGCTGAAGAGACACTTCACCAGTCTCTGTATTGCACATGGTCTTCATTTACGACAGGTTATGGATGACAGCAGTAATATAAACAACCTAAGTTTGTCCAGCTGATTCATTTCCAGCTCATGATATATTACCATTAATATATAATCCTTCTGGAGCTGCATGCTGGATGACAAAGTGAAGATGCATGTTTGGAGAACAAAAAGTTTTTGTTTTGCTGCCAACAGGTCCCCCTAATGAGTTTATGTCTAAAATATATCCAAATATACAGTCTGATTATGTCAAAGCATTAGCACACACACATACACACATAATAAATATAAATATACAAAAAATAACAAAATACTAAACAAAAATATATAAATAACAAAATAAAATTATATATATATAATTTTATTTTATTTTATTTTTTGTTTTATTTTATATTTAATTTCTTGTTATTTATGTTTTTATTTTGTTATTTTATTTTGTATTTAATTTAATTTAATTTTATATATATATATATATATAAAATCAAATTAAATACAAAATAAAATACCAAAACAAAAATTCTTTAAAAAATTAAATAAAAGAAATACCTGCTACTTTTAGCACACTTTGCGAAGTGTGTGTGATGGGTGAGGTGACGCCCACAGGAGGATTGCGGCCCTTTTTGTAGCTCCCAGGTTGTCCGAAACTCTGAGGTTTCTTCAATTCTCCTTTTCCCGTCTTGTCCTGCGGAGAACCATCCGGCAGCCGGGTTTTCCTCCACTTGCTGGAAGGCTCTGATTTTAAGCTGCCCGTGTCATAAACTCCATCAGCCTTCCGTAAAGACTTACTGTCCTCGCTATACCACGCCAGTCCACTCTCCACCAGAGAGCGCTTCTCTGCATCCGTCCGCAACTAAACACACACAGAGTACAGGACATCTGTTAGAAGATGAGATTTCATATGAGAGACCATACTATTCTAAATTGTATTCAGTAAGGATGCATTATATTGATCCAAAGTGACAGTAAAGACATTTATAATGTTACAAAAGATTCTATTTCAAATATATGCTGTTCTTTTAAACTTCCTATTCATAAATAAATCCTGAAAAATAGTTTTCCACAAAAATATGAAGCAGCTCAATTGTTTTTAACATTGATAATAATCAGAAATGTTTCTTGAGCAGCAGAATATTAGAATGATTTCTGAAGGATCATGTGACACTGAAGACTGGAGTAATGATGCTGAAAATTCAGCTGCAGATCACAGAAATAAATTACATTTTAATATATATTCACAAAGAAAAGGTTATTTTAAATTGTAATAATATTTCACAATATTATTGTTTTCATTGGCGTTTTCATCAAATGCATACAGCCTTGGCGAGCAGAAGAGACTTCTTTCAAAAACATTTAAAAACCTTACTGACCCCAAACAAAGCATTTTATTTATTTATTTATATATTTATATTCTATACTTTATGACTTGGCCTCATATTACACACTGAAATACACAAACACACTATGAATGTATGCTTTTAGTAAGATGGCGCCGACGCTGATGGCTGCCTCCGTGGCGGCGCACGTTTCTGTTATCTAGAAAGTAATAACCGCAATCCAAAGCCATCCTCTGTGTCGGCTGTAAAACATAAAGATTAATACGAGAGTTCAAGAAGAAAAAAAATGAAGCTCAGGGAATCTTACTCTAAAAGACTTTCCCACATTCACACTTGGATTCTGTGATACTTTTTTATGGGTACAGTTTTACTTCAATAATGAAGTAAACATGAAAGAAACAGAGCACATTACTCAGTTAGAAATAACTTTGCATTATATATATATATATATATATATAACATGCCATTTGTGGATAAAAATGTTGGACATCGCAATGGAAGCATTTGCCAATGCCGAGAATATGACATTTCTCTTTTTGCACCATCCAGATGGCACATTGAAAATATCTTCAAAATTTCATGTAGCCATTCTATGATGATGTTACCATAGCAACAGAAAGTCTATCAAGTCATATTGTTCCCCTTTTTGTCTGTATGAGCCTGAGAATTAACATTTGCGTCTTTAATGACGAGGAAAACAAAGGTTTGATTTCATGGTGAACTGATAGCAAGTGCTTCAAACGAGCAAATGACGTGCCCAATAGGAACCAGCTGCTCTTAATTCATCCAAGAAAATCAAAGCCAGGCTTTTAAGCTGGTTTAAAGGAAGTACTGGCTCTCCCGGTTCTCTAGGTGAATGTGATATGCCTGAGTCTCATACTATGGTTGTGCTGCATTATTTGTAATCATTATTTGTGATGCTTCTATAACATTATCAGCTTAGAGTGACAAAAATAGACCCACGAACAAAAACTGTTTAACTTTTTTATCAGCTGTAGAAATGTTCAGGCCATCCATATAACACTCTAGTGAAAACCACCAGACTACCAAACCAGAGACACGTTAAATTGAAGATGACACAAACACCAAACCACAGCCTGAAACTAGAGCCGGAAACTGTCAAGACGTCTCGCGTTCTCGTCTCGACACAAAACAAATCCTCAGAGGTTATCTTATGTCAGTGTTTACCAGAGAAGGAACTGAAAAACAATGTCAAAAAACAGAGATGGAAGCCATTTTAATATGTGCCTTGGTGTCTGCATCCAGTTTTAGTTTTTAAGCAGTGGCTGCATGTTCATATTTCATTTTAGAAAAAACTCATATCCATATGATTAGTTAAAGCGTTAGTTCAGCCAAAAATGAAAAGTATTCTCGTAGCTTCATAACATTACTGTTGAACCACTGATGTCACATAGACTATTTTAACGAAGTTCTGGGTTTGGAACGACATGAGGGTGAGTAATTAATATAATTAATTAATGACAGAATTTTCATTTTTGGGTGAACTATCCCTTTAAGTAAAAAGGGTTGGTAAGATTTTATAAATTTTTTAAAAGAAATCTCTTCTGCTCACCAAGGCTGCATTTATTCGATCCAAAATAGAGTAAAAACAAAAAATATTGTTAAATATTACTACATTCTAGTTGAATATACTGTAACATGTAATGTATTGCTGTGATCTGCAGCTGAATTTCCAGCATCATTACTCCAGTCTTCAGTGTCACATGATCCTTCAGAAATCATTCTAATATGCTGATCTGCTGCTCAAAAACATTTCTTATTATTATCAATGTTGAAAACAGTTGTGCTGCTTCATAATTTGTGGAAACAGTGACATTTTTTGTATTTTCAGAATTCGGTGATTAATAGAATGTTGAAAAGCACAGCATTCATTTGCAATAGAAATCTTTTGAAACATAATAAATGTCTTTACTGTCACTTTTGATCAATTTAATGCATCCTTGCTGAATAAAAGTAAGAATTTACAACAAAAAAAATCATACCAACAGCATGTCAAATTTCTAACTCATGGACAGAATATGGCCAACGTCATATTCAAATTGTTGCAAAATTTCTAGTTGTAGATTGATCTAGATTGATCTAAACCACAGACCAGAGTCCTGTTCTAGGAACATGACTGACCTGGTTATTTAGATGAGTTCTGGATATTTTCCTACCATAGAAAAACATTTCTTATCCCTAAGTTTGTAAAATCAAACAGAAAAAAGCATGACATTCACTCATATCTAACAGCTGCAGTGAGGTGTGCTGCTCCATAGACTTCCACTGTCAGCATGTTTTACAACAGTTGCAATGTAAAGTTGAATCTAACCCCATTTGGAACATTTAATCATGTTGTTTGTGCAAAATATATGATGTCTCAAATATATTAACTAGCCTATTCCAGTAGATATTTATGCCAAGTCACACTAAATCCAAATAAGCAACGTTCAAGAACAAGACCCAAATCACTCCGTGCACAAAAACAGTGATCTGTGCATTACTGGTCTCTGAGCTGCTTACCATGGCGGAGGAGTTGCGTCGCGAGCCGACAGGTGTGGTGGGGAGGGAGTTGAGAGACGAGCTGGCGTTGAGCTCCTCTGAGCTCAGGTTATCAGAACCATCACTCAAACCGCTGCTGATGGAGCTGCTCGCGTCCCAACTGCACACACACAGAGAGGAGATGAAGACGGTTAGAAGAAACAAGGAAAGCCTGAATCATGCAAGAAAGAAGTAAATAGCACAGTACCACACCCAGGACATACATTATTGCTCAGAGTTTGCACTTTCTTACTATTAGTTATGATTCATTGAAGAATCAAGTTTGTTTCAGGTGTCTCTTCTCAAATTCCTTTGGAGGAATAACAATGAGACACAAATGAATCAATAGAAAGATTAGATCTGGACTGAAGAAATTAGCGAGTTTACCCTCACTTTTGATTTCTATGGAAGTTCATTTCCGTCAGCAAATAAAAATATTACAAACGTAATTGCAATATTTTTTTTAAATCTCACAATTCTGACTTTTTCCTCATAACTGCAAGTTTATATCTCATAAGTCATGCTTTTTTTCCTCAGAATTGCACGTTTTTATCTCAGAATTGCAAGTTATAAAAAACGTAATTTTGAGTTTACATCTCACAATTCTGACTTTTTTTTCCTCATTATTGCAAGTTTACAACTCGCAATTTTGACTTTTTAAAATCTGATTTCTGAGTTTTTATTGTTTCCATTGCTGAATTAAAAAAAAAAAAAAAAAACATAATTGCAACTTTTTATCTCACAAATCAGATTTGTCTTCTCAGAATTGTGTTTATATCTCGCAATTGCAAGTTCTAAACTCATAATCATAAGTTTACATCTCACTCTCGGAATTCTGAGTTTAAATCTCACAATTCTGTTTTTGATTGCCGCAGAAGTTTTTCAAAAATTGTAATTACGACTTTTTACCTCACAATTCTGACATTTTTTTCTGTCAACTGTGACTTATGTTTCACAATTCTGACTTTTCTTCTCAGAATTGCAAGTTTATATCTCAATTCTTAGAACTGTAAGGAAAAAAGTCAGAAGTGTAGATAAAAAGTGACTAATATTCGTAAAATTTTTGTATTCCATGCTGGAATTAAGCTTCCCTAGAATTCAGAGCAAACCTCTTCTGAAACTGAAATCCTTTTCTCAGGAGAAAGATCTGAGTAGCATTATTTGATCTCAATTTCATCTCAGCATTGTCAAGGAGAAACAACTGAGATGGTATAGAGAGAAATCATTTGTCACTTTCATGCTCCATTACCTGACCCAGGAACAGACCGCAGGATCTCGTAATGGCACAGATGTCTTCACCATATGACCACACAAGCTCGGTTCTGGCTCTGGAGCAGGCTTGCGTTTACTTCCCAAAAAACATTGGAAGGGATGTAGATGCAAAACAGAATGATGGGTAGCGACCGGAGAGGTTTAAAATAACTGTATTGTACTTAAGGTCAGTGAGTTTATGAATGGCAGAGCATCAGTGCAGTAACTACGAATGGGTTTTTCTGGCAAACGCTACGGCTTTGGGGTTTGTCCATCTGCTGTGAAAGAGGGAAAGCCACACTATAGGATCATAATGATTCATCTTCAGTCTTGCATGACAAAGATGTGATTTAGGCCTGAAACATACATATGTATGTGAACGCAAATGCTGTGCAAGATCTGCACATTTAAAAACTTTCCTCTCCAAACTGTCCTCTTTATGGCATTGTGTTTTCTGTTTATTACGACTTTAACTCAATGACACATTGAGAAGCTGTACAATACAATATGTAAAATAAAGATGAAAAAAGATTGGGAATAATTATATTCTTAATAACTAAAAACATAAGTGAAGTAAATGGACATTTAACTTTTGCAAAATAAAAAAAGTAAAAACAAAAACAACAAAAATAGATACATACATGCATAAATAAATAAATTCTTTAAAAAACTGTAAAGTAAATGGGTGTTTAACTTTCACAAAATAAAAAATGAAAACGAAAAAACTAAAAAAGGATGTGATAATGACATTGTTGATAAAAAACAAGATGATGTAGTAAACAGATGAGGAACTAACTCAAAATAAAAGTTTAGAAAAAAAGATTATGAATGATTTTATCCGTAATTAAAAGTAAAAAGATGAAGAGGAAGTGAACAGAAAAATGAATACAATTCTTAACTCTTAAAATGGTAATTAATTCTTTAAAAACATTACAGTTTTTATTGTTCAGTAATTTTATAATTCTTGCATTTAAGGGTTAAGGACAGGGTTGAGATATTTTTTAAATGAAACAAGAAAAATACTGAAGGAGATGATTGTCTTTTGCTCATCTCAAGAACCCTATACAGTGATTTTGGACCAGAAGAAGGTTCTTTCTGAACCGAAGGTGCTTCAAAGAGCCACTGAAGAACCTTTAAGCAAATGATACACGTGGGATGTTAGAAATGAACCTGAGTCATGATCACTGTAGATCTCTGTCCGTCTGTTTCTATCTGCAAAGTACTTTGTGGTTTCCGACTCAGCAAAAGATGGAAAAGGGAATTATGGGTGCCAAAGGATCAGAGGTCAAAAATGGCTTGTTGGTGTTCGGAAGAACAACTTAAGGAGCCAGCAATTTGTGCTAATTACAGGTTGTGTGGCACAGAGGGGAGAGAATGGACTTGCCTACATGTCTCAACGGTTAGAGACGACTCCCGCAAAGACATTTCTTAATGCTTTTCTTTTCCACATCAGTTTCTATTTCCACCCGTTTGAAATGTAATGGTGGCGCACTGGAGCCAAAAGTCGGCCGAAGTCTGTGTCAGCTAGTTTTATTCTCATTTGAACGGAAATTGTGATTACCATGCTGAAATATTGCATAATGAGAAGACCAAAGAATAAGTTGACAACTAGACTTTTACATTTTCTGGAGTGCCACCATGTGCAAAACTCTATTTTTGAGAGTTTTTTCTCTACTTCTATTAAAAATATTTTCGTTAATTGGTAAAAAACGTTAAATTACTTCAAATTTAAATTGCATTAAAATACAACATAAATATTAGATAACTTTAAGAAAAATGTAAAAACGTTTGCATTAAAATCACGAAAACTAAAACTGATAAATAAAATTACAAAAATAAAAATATATAAATAAAATAATAAAATAAAAATAATATAAATACAATAATAAAAATAAATTAAAGCTAAAATATAAAGACAAAAACAATTTTTTTTAAAAATAAAATACAATATAAATATTAAATCACTCTGAGAAAAACATGAAAAAATGTGTGAAAATTTGGAATGTTGTCTTGCTATCTAACTGACATAAAAGTACTACAATTACTAAAAGCAAAACTGAAATAAAAATAAATTAAAGCTAAGATATTAAAAAAAACTATAAAAACATATATGCTTTTCAACTGTAAGTCATAAAAAAGTCATAAAACTATAAAAAATGGTCATTAATTGAAAAGGTTGAAAAAAAATACAATATGCTAGATAAATAAGAAAAACGTTAAAAAGAGCAAAAATGAGAAATGTTGATGTGGCAACTAACTGAATTAAAAGTTGAAGTACTTAAATTACTAAAAAAAGAAATTAAAGCTAAAATATTAAGCAAAAAAAAAAAATAGAATGAAAGTGTAGCGTATATAGAGCATATGAAAAAATTTCTAAAACATACTAAAATTCAAATAAACCTGAAGAAGTAAAAATAAAAAATACAATAGGATAAAAAAGAAAAACGTTAAAAAGAGCAAAAATGAGAAATGTTGATGTGGCAACTAACTGAATTAAAAGTTGAAGTACTTAAATTACTAAAAAAATAAATTAAAGCTAAAATATTAAGCAAAAAAAAAAAAAATAGAATGAAAGTGTAGCGTATATAGAGCATATGAAAAAAATTCTAAAACATACTAAAATTCAAATAAACCTGAAGAAGTAAAAATAAAAGTTAAAAATTCAAAATATTAATAAACACTATAATACTGTAGTGTACAAAAAATGCTAAAAAAAACAAAAAAACACTGCAGACAGTGCATATACAGCTCAACCTCAAACACACAGACACAAGCTGAGGCTGTTCACACAAACGCTGTGACTGACGTCTGAGAACAGAACAGGGCCGAGGGAAGCTTTGCTTCATCAGACTCACTCTCAGTAATAAAGTCCTGCTCTGTTCCCTCTCTCAGGAAACGCTCGCTGTCTCTATATTGGGTTGAGGGACGTTTCATGAGAACCGCTGTGGTCTCCAGAATAGGCAACGGTGCCATCAATCTCATTTGAACATTCAGTGGAAACCGCCAAATAACTCAGGAAATCATTCATCACAGCCGCCGAGAAAACACAGCCCAAAAGGTACGAGTTTGAAATGGAAACAGACGACAACCTAAGAAATACAGCTAGTTTCTTTAGTAGCTTTAAAGTGCACACTGTAAAAAATATCCTGTTCAATTTATGGTAAAGAAACAGCAGATGGGTGCCAGAAATTCAATGTGACGATGACAATGCTTTGGATATTATGAGATGGCATATTTGTGCCTGTATATTTTACAACCATTATTACAAGCCATATATTGCATTAAATGATTTAATGTTAATATACCAATCTACTTGAAGTATCAAAGTCTGTTTTTTTTTACCTTAATATGTACTGATAATTATCATGATAATAATACAAGTGGTAAATTAGAAAACCACTTGATAAATCAGTCCATAAAACTTGGCCAATAATCGCAAATAGATGGTGCACAGACACACAAACACAAAATACCAGGTTAACACACACGACAAAAATAAAGTAATGCAATAAACATTAATTAAACAACAGAAAAGGCAACACAAAACAACCTAGTTTACAATGGTTACAGTATTTTTCTGTAAAGATTACAAAGAGTTTTTTATTATGAATCCTATTTTCCATTAAGTAATCCTGTATTTAATTCCTGTAATTCACTGTAGTTTTACTGTATATTTTAAGATTTTTTTTTTCATTACTGACCTTTTACTGTTTTTCACCATTATTTATACAGTCATTCATATTTTTTACAAACAAAAAAACATATATTTGACATTATTTTACTCTAAAATTACATGTAATGTGCACTGTAAAAATAAATAAATAAAGATTTTTTTGGAGTATAGTAAGAAAATACTATTTCAGTAAATGG